GTGACAGATATGGATCTATTTGCAGCCTTCTACACGTTGATATCCAGTTATGCCAGCACCATTTGTTGAAGATGCTTTCTTTTTTCCATTGTACAGTTTTGGCTTCTTTGTCAAAAATTATATGTTCATAGGTGTGTGGATTAATGTCAGGGTCTTCAATTTGATTCCATTGGTCCACAATTTTTAAAAATCATTTGTATCTTTTGCCCATATTGAAAACTGTAAAACACATTTGTGCAGCCATCTACTAGTACAGTACACTCTAGGCTTAGAAATCGCAAGGATTTCAATACAAAGCACTGGATGATATATACTTAGAAAAGATAAGGTCATGAGATTTTTAAATGTACATTTTTGAATATCTTAGGAATTTGTGTGTTTGGAGAATAATATTCATGCCCTCTTACATGCTAGTCAAGTGCTCTTCCATTGATCTATATTTTAAGCACAGCTGTGAGATCTTTGACTAGGGCACATCTAGAAGTCTTATGTAGCTGTACCACTGAGATAAAAATTTTAGTAGTTTTAGAGACAGTGTCTCATTCATTCAGTTAGTAGCCTTCTGGGGATCTTTGTAGGAGAGTTCATTTCAACATGTCCTTTGTCTCTCTGAATGTTCAAATGATGTGGGGAAATGCCCTTCCACTCTGATCTTTTCTCTTCAGTCTTAAATCAGTTTGGGAAACAGCAGTTGATGGATGAGTTTGTTGTAATTCCAGTGCCCGAAGACTGAAAATGAAATGCTTTAGATCATTCAGGCTAAAGGGAACCTGTATCAGGTTTTTCCCTCGTGGACTTGAGGGCAGGTATGTGAATATATGGACCTGTTATGTCTTCATTGGTAAGAATCTAACTAAGCAAATTTACTGTTATTGGTAGAGGAATTTTCTCTTTTACTCAAATAAATCATATAATCTTAATTTATTAGCAGTCAGTTTTATTAGTTTGATAATTTCCACTTTCAGTCTATTTCAGATTTCTACGTACAATGATGTAGTTTATTGAAGTAATAAATATAACCTGAGCATGTATCCTATTGAAGACATCAAGGTATGTAGGCTTTGTTCAAACATTAAAAATACAGCCAGGCCAGGTGGTGGTGGCGCACGCCTTTAATCCCAGCACTCGGGAGGCAGAGGCAGGCGGATCTGTGTGAGTTTGAGGCCAGCCTGGGCTACCAAGTGAGTCCCAGGAAAGGTGCAAAGCTACGCAGAGAAACCCTGTCTCGGAAAAAAAAATACAGCCAGACATGTGGAGAGAGAGGCTATGTTAGAGCTCTTCATATGGTCCCTCTCCTAGTAGCTCAGTGAAGAAGAGGGGCAGGAGGATTGTAGGCATCAGAGGGGATAGAAGACCCCAAGAAGACACGGGCAACTGAATCAACTAAATAGGGCACATATGGGCTCAGAGAGCCTGAACGGGACAAGCATGTGTCTTGCCAGGGTCTGCACCAGGTCCCCTGTGTAAATGTTGTGGCTCTTAGGTCGATGTTTTTGTGGGAATCCTAACTGGGAGCAGGTATGTCTTTGACTCTTGTCTAGACTTTGACTCTTCAGACTCCTTTCCTCCTGTGGGTTTGCATTGTACAGCTTCCTTGTGAGGCATAAAAAATAAAATAAAAAATATAGCTGTGCAGAAAGGTAAAGTTGCCTGTGATGGCTGTGATCTCACTCAGAATGCTATAGACTATTAAGATGATGAGAAATAATTTTTGTTTCTGTGAGTTTGTGTCAGAAAAATAATACACAATGTCTGAAACAAATGCAATTTTATTAATAACACCTGTTTTCTTTTCTGGGGTTGGCTACTAGGAAGGGCTCTTTTGTAGGTGGCAGGTGACCTGACTGAAGGCAAGATTGCCTGCTCAACATTCAAGCAGAAGGAGGGTCTGAACAGCATTTCAGATGCGGGAACAATCTTTATGATGGTCTGTAATGATTTGGGAAAGAGATGAATGCTTTGGGAGAAGGCAAAGCAGAAAAGCATGCATACAAATGTGAAAAAAAATAATTAGTAAATTAGGTCGAATTGGGGCTTTGTAAGAGAAAAGAATAAATGTCAAGAACCATAATAAAAATTCAGGTGATATCTAACATACAATGGACTTCCATTTCTTCCTTCCTCCAGATTCTGAAGCTCCGTTGATGTTCATTTATTATCAATCTGTAGTGAAATTGATGAAACAACAAATTTTAATAACAAACATTTTCATGTCCTCTAGGAGGGATGATGTTTCTTTGCTAATGAAAAACTGGTCAGCAGTTGCTAGATGTCATCTGAGGCAGCAACAGGAGTTAACAGATGTCCCTTGATCATGTCTCTCCCCTCCCCCTCAGTAAACTGTGTTAAATGGAAAGATGAGTAGGCCTGGTCTGCTTCTGATTCTGAATTCTATTAAGTTTTGAGTCTTTGTCTTTTCAGTCTGAAATCTGCACAACTAATATTAGAACTGCTGTGATGTACATTAAGTAAATGATATGCATTTTAAAAGTACTACATATTGTGTTTAAGTATCATATTCAAGGGATATAAATATGCAGTTTTTTTCACTTAACTGCCTGAAGTCAGTATTATTTGATACTCAGTTGCCTTCCACTGCTTATTTTAGTTTTGTTTTTCATTGAGACAGGATTGTATTTTGTAGCCCAGGGTGGCCATGAAATTAGTCTCTTGAGCAATGAGAGTGTAGGTGTGTCTACTATTCTTGTCTTAACAACCTCTCAATGTTGATAATAGCTTGCTGGTCATTCCTACATCTATCTTTTTTGTTTGTTTGTTTTTTGAGACAGGGTTTCTTTGTGTAGTTTCGGTTCTTGTCCTGGATCTTGCTCTGTAGACCAGGCTGGCCTTGAACTCATAGAGATCTGCCTGTTCTGCCTCCCAAGTGCTGGGATTAAAGGTGTGCGCCACTGCCACCCAGTCCAACATCTATCTTTGCTAATATCTATGCCAGCAACTGATCATAGCTATTGGTTTTTCTATTATTACAACTAAGTTGGTTGAATTTGTGCTAACACACACATGGAGTTAACTCAGGGCTATTTAAAATTCATATACATCTATGAAAAACAATAGTTAGTTTTAAAATTCTATGGTCAACTCAAACTATAATAAAAGTGGAAATATACTTCTTTCACATACATAATAAATATATCAGCATATGAGCATATTTAAAAGTAATTAAGGAAATATATATATATATATATATATATATATATATATATATATATATATTTACTGCTTGGAATGGATATAGTGTCTTCCCATGTCAGAAAGCATTAAATACACATGAATATACCTTCATTTTGAAAGGATTTTATTGGTGAAATTGTACCATTCTTATATACTAATTTACTTATTCACTCATTGCAAAGCAATTATGCTGTAAAAGTCAAGATAACCACAAGTCATAGGAACTAAGTCATTATAACTTAGATTCATGCTCAGAATGGCATATATATGATAAATTGTTGAGTCATCTGAAAAATAAGAGTGTATATGTACATATAATAGAATCTTTTAAATAAGAATAAAATAGAATCAAATTTAAAGAAAGCTGGCTTTATCCATTTATTTTTTAAAAAAACTTGTTGAAAAAAAAAGAATAAAATAGAAATTCTGAGCAGTAGATTTCAGACCAGTGTGGGTTGACAGCCTCCTTTTCTTGCTTAGTTATATGAATCACATCATCAAATCTTACTAATCTTGATATTGCTGTTTCAATGCAGTTCTATACTGTCTTCATATTCTTTGTAGAATAGTGGCTATTATGCAGGTGTGTTCCTGCATGAACTTTTGTTGGTGTCCCATTCCCCAGAACAGTGGATTGTAATAGTACTAGGTTCTTAATGATGTTATTAGTTTAAAACTCATTTAAGTTAGTTTGAAATGTTAAGATGGGCCCTAAGCCAATCATTAATGTAACTGTGAGAGAAGAAATGGGACACATAGGAAGAGAAGAGTGGATGTACACATAGGAAGGGCCTTGTGACTACACAGCAAAAACAGTCATCTGTAAACCAAACAGAGAAGCCTCAGAAAACACATAACCCACACTTGATGGAGGACTTTCAGGCCCCAGAGCTGCAAAAAAATGATCTACTCTTGTTTAATCCACCTGGCTTATTGCGCTCTTTAAAAATTATTTTATGTAAGCAAATGACACAGTGGTAAAAATACAATTTTCAATCTTTGTGTGCCAGATATTAAACATAGGATTTACACACACTAGGAAGTGCTTTATTATAGTGCTAGGTATAGCCATTCTTCTTACTTTTGTAT